ATTTAGTTTTTATTTTGATATTAAATACAAGACATCAATCTAATTTGTCTCTTATATTTATGAATTTTTTATCAAAATAGCTCTTCTAATAATAATATTTTTAACTAATACATTTGATAAGCAAGGATATTTTAGAAAAGATAATACCTATTTATTACAAATAACTAATCCAATTTATTTTTATAATCTTTTTAAATTAATCAACTAATTACGTTGTATGTAATTTATTTTATCAATGTATTTAAAATTTTAAACCGAGTCAGTTAGAGGAGTGATTCGCGGATGTCCTAGGATGATGGAACCTCCTAATGCCATGATCCAAGGGATGTGAAGTTATCCGAACTTGGCTGTCCCCCGTCGCTGTCGTTGATTAATGATGACCAATAGGAATCTGTGTACATCTTGAGGATAACACCTTTTCAATTCGTTTGCTTTCCCGTTCTGAATATCTGATCCCCTCCTCATCCTTATCTCTTTCTTTTTTGTTAATTAAATAAACTCATTTTTTATTTTTTTCCCAACAGTCCATTCGCTCATACCTTGGCTGGCCGCTGGTATATTCACGGGGTTCTGTCTCAGCTTTCAACGCCCACAGCATCCTGTGTGCCATCCTGGTTTTCTCCCCTTCCATTGTTTCCATTAAAATCAAACCTCTGCAATTCACTTTTCTTTCCCTTGCGCTCCGCTTTCCTTATTTCTTTTTTAGGAAAAAAAAGGGGGCAAGACCATTACGCCATTGCTCGTCGCCCCTTCTTCAATTATTAGTTTGCGTTCATCGATGACCCCCCTTCTTTTAAATTGTCTACTCATTTGGGTTGGTTTCAAGGTCTATGAACAACCTCAGCCTTGTTAACTTTTTGCTATATTCTGAGTTAAAATTAACATGGTGCAGGATATCTAATACATAATTCTGAAAAGGAGGATATTCGTATATCAATCGTCACCTGCGTCAGGTGTTATTTCTTCTTGTTATATTTAATCCTATGCTTTTGCATCACCACATCCGTCTTATCCTGACTGGTTTGTTTTGACTAAAAAGCAGCAACTAACTGCAACCGAAAGAAACTAAATGCTTTAGGGTGTGTTTGGATTGGCGTTGGGCAAAACTGACTTCTAGTCTAACTGACTTTTGTAACTGAAGTTAGAGTAAAAGTCAGTTAGTGTAATGCGATTTATGTTTGGATAGGTGCTTATAAAAAGTCAGTTGGAAAAGTTAAAAGTTGTTTAGATGATTAATAGAAAAGTGAATTTAGTTGTAAAATGACTGAAAAGGACATGGACTTTATTGAATAATAGTGTTAGATATTTTATGTTTTTAACGTGGTAATAGTTAAAAAAATACCTAAAATTATTATGATAAAATAAAAATAGTTTATTTATGAGATTATAAAATAAAAATATTTGCTATTGAGAAAAATTTAAAAACGCATTGTAGATAATTAATTAAATAGATATAATGAACAAATTAAAAAAATAATAAATAATATAAATATGTTGTTTAGTGTTGGTAAGGAAAAAAATAAATAAATGTGTTGGCCTACACAGGGATCGCCAACAAAGGACATGACGGTAAAAAAATTAGTGGGTCCCACTCACTGCAACGCAACTGAAGGCAAAAGCTAGAAAAAGTTTCATTAGATAAAAGTCAGTTTGAAGCGGTGGTGGCGATGGAACAAAACGCTATGCCAAACGATCTTTTTTCTTCCAAAAACTCTTCAACCCAGGTTTCACACTTTCCAAGGCGCGTTTTGCAGTCTAAAAGGTAATCCAAACATAGCCTTAGTGACTAGCGTGGTTCGGGAGTTTCGGCCGGTGCTGTGAGTAGGTGAAAACTGGAAGCAATTTCAAGTGTAAGGGAACAGTGTGGTTATTTGTGCAGGCGGCAACTGGCACCGCGAGGTCACTCCCCCGGTCCTGCTCGGGAATGGACAGAGGCCAAACTGTCCCTTTCGTTAGTTTTTTTTTTTTTTTTTTTAACGAAGCATGAATGGGACGCGTTCCAACGCCGGTCAATAAACTAATTTACCGAAGAACGACAACACATGGAGACAATTAATTGAAGGCGAGGTAAGCAAATTACGAGGAGGAACCCACCGGCCCTGAGAGGTTGGCCAAATACGAGCCATACATGTGTCAGATGCTGCGGCCTCCCGATCTCAGCCTCCTCTAAAATGTTTTCTATTGAGCCACTCTTAAATGGCATCATTAAGCATTAATCCTCCCTCTCCCCTAGCCAGCAACAGCAAACGCCAAATAACGTCATGCTTCCTTTGTTTTCCCCCTTTTTTTCGGAAAACTGTCCTTCTTTTCTTTCTTTGTTGGATACTCTTTCCTTACCGTTCAAAATATAAATTAAACTTTATCTATTTATATTTATAAAAAAACTAATTAAAATCAATTTAAAATAATAAATGTATAAGACATATATATTTTTCCTAATATACTCTTATTAATAAAGAGAATAAATAAAAGATGCAATAAATGAATTAAAGAGGAAAGAGAATATATTGGGATAAAATTAAAAAAAACACTCATTAAATGTTTAGACAAAAATAAATATTATTTTATTTAAAAAAAAGAATAACCCTTTTAAAAAGGTTAGTTTATATTTTGAACCGGTAGTACTTAGCTGTCATTTTAAAAGTTCATGATAATATTAATATTTTTAAATTATGTTATTCGATTTTCTAACTATAATTATTTTACATGCATAATGTATCTTTTGAAAATAGTTGAAAAGTTGACCGTACTGAAATTAAACAATAAATGATGGAATATCCGTCGTTCCTCGCTCGACAGTTCGCATGTGGACGGGGATGACGCGCGAATGGCACCTTTCCCGGTTCGCCCCAGCGCTGAATGCTCCACCTCCACATAAAGTTTGGATAATATTTTTTTTTCCCCTCACCGGATTTTGGATAATATAATTAAATAGCAGGTTTAAGTATCAAAAAAATTTGATGTACTCAATAAATAAAAAAAATATATGTAAATATAATATTTAATATTTAAAATTAAAAAATATTAGAAAAAGCACCGAAACGCCTGTTAAAAAATAATAATTTCGGAGCCTCTAAAATTTAGTTTTCAACGCAGAGCTTTTTAAGAAAAATTCATTTACTCTCAATACTAGGTTAAATATGATCTTTAGCTCAAACTAATTTTTAAAAGTACAAAATTTTAAACGGAATCCCAAACAAACAATAAAAAAATAAAACCGATGCATAGTTGTTATCTTTGAAATTAAAAAAAATTCCACGTCTAATAGCGAAATAAAAACCATATCGCAAGTGCCAAAGTCTCGATGGTTCGGTGACGTAAGAAAGCACCCATAGCATCAAAAACAAATTTTTTCCAACGGAAAAAAATTACAAAGTCCCCTGAAAATTTCTAAAGAAAATATTGCTTAGATTATATCAGAATGACGCGAACGTTTACTGGACAATTCTGGACATGGCATTGCAAGGCAAAGCTTAGAACACGTCCCAGCAGGCTGGAAAATTCGTGTACAATTTAGATGGAACTATATTGGTAGGCCCCCAATTTCGCAGGAATTTACAAGGTTAGTTACATTGTCCGCACAATACCATGCAGCTTTTTATAGTAATTTATACTCCTCCGGTCCTGAATATAAAACTCACTTTACAGTAAAGTGAGTTTTATATTCAGGACCAAAAGAGTATCACGCAGTGTAATATTGGCATGCTGATATATCAATACTGTACAGTGACTGATAATGATTAATAGAAGTTGGGTTTGGGGGGGGGAGGAAGGATAATAGAAGGTGGTCCCTGCAGCGGAGGAAACCCCGCCTTGTACGCAGACATACAAATGAGATTAGGCCGTTTGCGATCCCCGGAGGCCCATCAGTGAGCCCAATCTTGAATCTGGGCCATAGAATGCATTGGTCCATTCGTTTGCCTGGGGCAAATATGACTTGGACTATCCTACACCAAAGAAAAAAAAACTAATCCCTGTCCATCAATTTTAGAGCAATATATTTGAAGTTTTTCCAAAAAAGGCAATTTCACTCATCAAAATAGCTGAAAATATGTTATTTTCAATGCTTTTCCTTTCTTTTACCTTAGAATTCTGCCAACAATTCTTTTGTATTTAATTAAATAGTAAAAAAATATCTTTGATCTTCTAATTTTATGTGATATTGTCAGTCTCCAATGATTACTTTTTATATAAATTACTATGTAAAAAAATTGAAGTTTGTATTTGTAAATATCCTAATAACATTTAAAACTTTAATATTAATATTTTTCTAATTAATAGAACTATAAAAAAAACTCTTTATAAAATTAAGAAATCCAAATGAATTCGTTAACAGCCAAATATCAAGTTTTGATATTAACCAAAATTACTTTTTTAATCAAATGGTTACTTATGGATTAATCAATTAATTACGCAAATAATGCTCTTCTATCTTGGCGTCGGATGCAGGCAGTGGACGCAAACAACTCATAATTGCTCCTCGCGACCGAGGTGTGTCTGGGACAGTGCATCTGAGCCGTTAATTCTTAAAGATCTCGACCGTCCATGCTTCACCTGATGACGCGCAAGCATAGGAGATTTGTCTTGTGCTGGTTGATGACGTCGCACGCGAAGAATGATGAAGTTATCTCACTTTATAATTTATCAACACCTGTACGTGGCAAAGCTAGTCAACCCCAATGCCAATGTTCTTTGTGTGGATTGTAGAAATGAAAGGGCTCATTGCATATAATTCGACCTCCAGCAACGAAAGCCCTAAAATGGACAAGCCAAAATTGCAAAGCTTATATCCCAACTTGGACAATAAAACAACTAAAAATAACTTGATAGGCGATGAACACGAGACACCTTACACCAGTCTATTCTAATTCACGCCTTCCCTCCCTTTAAACTCCAACTATATATATGCGTGTGTATGGGAGTGATTTTTTTTATCTAATCATCTCAATCTCAATAAATAAACTTTCAATAAGCCGTTCAGGCCTCATCAATCAGAGGCTATGGCGGCCAAGGCTTTTTTTCTTTTTCTCACTGCTTTCCTTTCTTGCAGCATTTTAGCTGCATCCCGTAGTCTTGGCCATTCCCGTAGCCTCCTTCAAGCTGCTGCTCCTGCCACTCCTGTCGTTGGTGTCGCCCCTGCCACTCCTCCTGCCGGTGCTCCACCAATCACTCCTGGCGCCGGTGGCGCACCTGCTGCCACTCCTGTTACTGGTGGACCTACTGTCGCCACCCCCGCTGGAGGTCCTATTGCACCTACCGGCGTCACTCCTGTCATTTCTGGTGGTGTTGCAGTTTACGACGTTACAACCTTCGGTGCTAAGGCCGATAACAAGACCGACAATGTTATGGTCAGAACATAATTTCATTTTGCAAATTACTAATCACATACACACGCGCACACTGTTCTGATAGGGAGCGAAGGATCAAGGGATTTGTTAGTGGATTTAATTGCAGCGGAGAGTTCATATATAATAGATGAGCTTGTTTGCTATTTGTGCTTCTGTAGGCATTCATGCATGCATGGATTGCGGCATGCAAGAACAGCACTACACCGTCAAAGGTATTGATTCCGGCAGGAGCATTTGTAGCAGGACCAACAGTGTTTGCTGGCCCATGCACAAGCCCAAAGCCCATAACAGTCGAGGTGTTGGGAACAGTGGTAGCTACAGTAGACCCGTCTGAATATGTCTCTCCCGAATGGTTTACCTTTGAACACGTTGACGGACTCGTTATCACCGGCAACGGAGTTTTTGATGGCCAAGGTGGCGTTTTCTGGCAATACAATGATTGCAAAGGAAAATCCTCCGAGTGCGCTTCCCTTCCTTCGGTAAGATATCAAAAGAATCTAGACTTCACTTGATTAATTAGTTAAGGTTACATAGCTTTTATTTGGCTGCTGATGTTAATGATTTTGTACCTGCAGTCACTAAAGTTTAATGCAGTGAGCAATGTGATCGTCAATGGCATTAGTTCCGTAAATAGCAAACAATTCCACTTCCATCTTCATGAAAGTAGCAATTTCACGGCCAGCTATCTGACGATAACAGCTCCTGGGAACAGCCCCAACACAGACGGAATGCATATCGGGTCCAGCTCTTTGGTGACTGTGTCGCATAGCGTTATCGGAACTGGTGACGATTGCATTTCTGTCGGAGAGGGGTCTAGTAACGTGACCATCTTCAACATTACTTGTGGACCAGGCCATGGAATTAGCGTGGGAAGCCTTGGGAAGAGGCCAGATGATAAAAGTGTGAATGGTGTCTCCATCACAAACTGCACATTCAAAGGCACCACCAACGGTGCAAGAATCAAAACCATGGTGGGGCAAAGCCCAGGAGGAGAAGCCAAGTCAATCTTGTATCAAGATCTTTTGATGGATAATGTGAGCAACCCGGTGGTTATCGATCAAAGTTATGGTACAAAGGCAATGAGGTTTCAATCAAAGTCATTTTGGAAGATAAGTGATGTGCATTTCAAAAACATAAAGGGAAGCACGACCACAAATGCTGCGGTATCCTTGGACTGCAGTATAACGAATCCTTGTGAAGGTGTTGAGGTGGCGGACATCGATCTGACTTTCACGCCACTTCATGCCAATAAATCATTCTTTTCAGCGTGTTCCAATGCTAAAGCTACCTTTATCGGAACCTTGAACCCACCGGCTTGTTCTTCTACTGCAACTCCTGCCGCTGATGCAGCTCATGCAACATCTCCAGCCGGTGCTCCAACAGCCACTCCTGTTGCCGGTGCAACTCCTCCAACTGCTCTAGTCGGTGCCACACCAGCCACTCCTGCTGCCGGTGCTGCTACTACAGCTGCTCCACCAGCCACTCCTATTGTCGATGCTGCACCTGCAACTCCTGTTGCTGGTGGCCCACCAGCCACTCCTGTTGCCAGCAGCTGATTTGTTTTGTTTTTTTGGGAGTTATTCTTAACTGGAAGCATGCAATTGAGGGCATTTATTCATGTATTCCTCTGTGTTTACTTGTTTATGCATTTAGATGTCCTGGACGGAGAATTCTTATTCTTTTGTTAAATAGATGCATAGGCTAAGATATTTTAGTCTTAGTCTGGGCTATCCTCCATGGAGCCTTATGTGTATAATGGAGGGATTCTTTATTTTGAATGAAACTTCTTCTTTTTTTATATTATTTTGTACGCGACTTTATATATATGATTGTTGAAACTTCTTTTATATATTTAGGTGCATTCTTCTTTTTGTTTGGCTTATATAATATGGCCATTAAAACTAGCCATTAGAAGTTGCTGACAAAAGATTAGTAGTGATGTCATTTATCTGTTGAAGCTCAATCCATGCTTAATCATCTCTAAAATATGTTGTTAGATGATCTAAAACATTTCTGTAATTATTGGGCATATTTAGATGGAGTTTCATAAGATGTAAACTTGATCTTGAATCCACTTGATAAACAAAGCATGAAGAAGCTATCTCTGACAAGAATACTTATTTCAATAAAGCTTTCAAAGAGTTTAAGATTTATTCAAACAGGGTTGGGAATAAAAGAGTTAAATGGACTTTGATTAGAACGACACTTAGAATGGAAGTGAGTGTGACTTAGAAAATATGTATACTTATTTGAGATAGACTACGAGTCATATAACAAACGAAGGATGACTCGAACAAGGCCTGAAATAAAAGTCACTTTGTCATTTGGAAGTATTGGAGTACTTATTCTAATAGAAGTAAGGATACAATACTATTGGTCTTTAACTTGAAGTGTTGTTTGTACAAATTTGAGTCTGATACAAGCAAAATGAACGTCAAATTTGAGTGGCCATAATTCTCTCAATTCAAATCCAAATTTCACAAATGACCTATCACTAGAAATCTCTTTAAGTCTACTTTCAAATGCAACGAGAGTCATTTTGAAATTCATTGTAGTCACAAAGATATAATCAATGAACTGACTGAAGGTCAGGATCAAGGCGTGAAATCCAAGCACCATATTCCAAACAACATATCTCCGTCACATGAAAATCTTTGAAGTTGATCTTGATGTGCATGAATCATGTCTAGAGCCTAGTTTCATATGAACCAAGCTTGACCTCAAACAAATGGGTGGTTTGAGAGAGATCACAGAAATACCAAGTACAAATCAAAGTTGAATGAAAAACAAAGCATAACAGAACATGTGGAGCCAAGAGGTTAACTCGAACAAGGACCAAGTTAACTCAAATAAAACATGTGAAAATCATCTCTAAAGATTATATTTGAGTTTAGAAGAATGATGACTCAAGTTTTGATTATATAACTTCCAGTTGAGGTATTTTTACTTCCAACTGAGCATAGCAACCTCAAATAATAAATCTAATAGCTTGAATCTTGATATTTCCATTTGATATTGTGAGTTCTTCTATCTTCAATACCCTATTCGAATATATAGGAGGAGATTAGCAAGATGTAGCAAATTCTCATGAGGTTTATTCGATGCGTGTCTTGAGTCAACCTCTAATTCGCATAAGACATCAAATAATTCTTCATGTAATTGGCTTTTGAAACTTCATGCTCTACCTCCAATAAAAGAAGTTTTTTTTCAAATAAAATTTGCCTTGAATTTTCAATCTTTGTTTGTAGAAACATTATTCGAAGCCTTGCTCAAATAAATTTTTTATCTTCTTGACAATAATAATTTTCAGCAACGTCATTATTCATAGTAGGCATCGAGTCATGCTTTTATTCAAATAAAGATTCTTTGTCTCAAATTCCACTTCATTTGATGACTTAAATATTGCATGGAGTCAAAGCTATTCCGTTCATCTCTATTTTTGGTTAATGAATTAGAGCATCTTGTAAAACAAATAACTTACTGGGATTTACCATTCTCAGTTCTCTTCTTTCTTCAAGCTCTCTTATTCTTCTTGATCATTCTTCATAATCTAACATGACGGTCTCTATAGTTTAACATCATAGTTTCTTTTTTTTTTCCCTTGACCAAACTGTACAAGATAATTCATTAAATATAATAGCTAGTCAAATAACAAGAGATATATATTATTCAAACTTTTTTCCCAATATTTAATATCATTAAAACTAATTATATATAACAGATTCAAAAATATCAAGATATCTATATATACAACAATGAATAGTTTATTGATCAAAATTCATTATCATAATTTGATTTGCTGTATTTTTTGTTACTTGTCCATTAATTTGACACTATAATTTGCTAATAAATATGATTCAAATTAAAAATTTTAGTTTGGTAACATTTGCCAATACTAAAACCTAATAATTAAAAAGAATTATATGTCTTTAGCAAACCGGAACTTTAATTATATTTTCACCTTGGAATAAGATTTAGACACTACAATTTTGTTCTTATTTACACTTGGCAAGAAATGGCTATTAAAACATGTGAACTTGAGGTATCATAGAATTTTTATAAGTTGCATCTTTCATAAGTTACAAAAATCATTTGCGCTTTTTGAGCTTAACGTTACGCAACTTGCCAAAATTGCAAAGCATGTGTTCCGATTTAGACAATAAAACACCTATAGATAACTTGATAAGCGATGAACACGAGACACCATACACCAAGCTATTCTAATTAAGGCCTTCCCTCCTTTAAACTTCGAATATATATGTGTGTGACTAGCATCTTTATCAAATCATCCCAATCTCAATAAATAAACTTTCAATAAGCCGTTCAGGCCTCATCAATCAGAGGCTATGGCGGCCAAGGCTTTTTTTCTTTTTCTCACTGCTTTCCTTTCTTGCAGCATTTTAGCTGCATCCCTTAGTCTTGGCCATTCCCGTAGCCTCCTTCAAGCTGCCACTCCTGCCACTCCTGCCACTCCTGTCGCTGGTGTCGCCCCTGCCACTCCTCCTGCCGGTGCTCCACCAATCACTCCTGGCGCCGGTGGCGCACCTGCTGCCACTCCTGTTACTGGTGGACCTACTGTCGCCACCCCCGCTGGAGGTCCTATTGCACCTACCGGCGTCACTCCTGTCATTTCTGGTGGTGTTGCAGTTTACGACGTTACAACCTTCGGTGCTAAGGCCGATAACAAGACCGACAATGTTATGGTCAGAACATAATTTCATTTTGCAAATTACTAATCACATACACACGCGCACACTGTTCTGATAGGGAGCGAAGGATCAAGGGATTTGTTAGTGGATTTAATTGCAGCGGAGAGTTCATATATAATAGATGAGCTTGTTTGCAATTTGTGCTTCTGTAGGCATTCATGCATGCATGGATTGCGGCATGCAAGAACAGCACTACACCGTCAAAGGTATTGATTCCGGCAGGAGCATTTGTAGCAGGGCCAACAGTGTTTGCAGGCCCATGCACAAGCCCAAAGCCCATAACAGTCGAGGTGTTGGGAACAGTGGTAGCTACAGTAGACCCGTCTGAATATGTCTCTCCCGAATGGTTTACCTTTGAACACGTTGACGGACTCGTTATCACCGGCAACGGAGTTTTTGATGGCCAAGGTGGCGTTTTCTGGCAATACAATGATTGCAAAGGAAAATCCTCCGAGTGCGCTTCCCTTCCTTCGGTAAGATACCAAAAGAATATGGACTTCACTTGATTAATTAGTTAAGGTTACATAGCTTTTATTTGGCTGCTAATGTTAATGACTTTGTACCTGCAGTCACTAAAGTTTAATGCAGTGAGCAATGTGATCGTCAATGGCATTAGTTCCGTAAATAGCAAACAATTCCACTTCCATCTTCATGAAAGTAGCAATTTCACGGCCAGCTATCTGACGATAACAGCTCCTGGGAACAGCCCCAACACAGACGGAATGCATATCGGGTCCAGCTCTTTGGTGACTGTGTCGCATAGCGTTATCGGAACTGGTGACGATTGCATTTCTGTCGGAGAAGGGTCTAGTAACGTGACCATCTTCAACATTACTTGTGGACCAGGCCATGGAATTAGCGTGGGAAGCCTTGGGAAGAGGCCAGATGATAAAAGTGTGAATGGTGTCTCCATCACGAACTGCACATTCAAAGGCACCACCAACGGTGCGAGAATCAAAACCATGGTGGGGCAAAGCCCAGGAGGAGAAGCCAAGTCAATCTTGTATCAAGATCTTTTGATGGACAACGTGAGCAACCCGGTGGTTATCGATCAAAGTTATGGTACTAAGGCAATGAGGTTTCAGTCAAAGTCATTTTGGAAGATAAGTGACGTGCATTTCAAAAACATAAAGGGAAGCACGACCACAAATGCTGCGGTATCCTTGGACTGCAGTATAACGAATCCTTGTGAAGGTGTTGAGGTGGCGGACATCGATCTGACTTTCACGCCACTTCATGCCAATAAATCATTCTTTTCAGCGTGTTCCAATGCTAAAGCTACCTTTACCGGAACCTTGAACCCACCGGCTTGTTCTTCTACGGCAACTCCTGCAGCCAATGTAGCTCATGCAACATCTTCAGCCGGTGCTCCAACAACCACTCCTACTGCCGATGCAACTCCTACAACTGCTCCACCAACCACTCCTATTGCTGATGCTGCACCTGTAGCTCCTCTTACGGGTGCCCCACCAGCCACTCCTGCTGCCAGCAGCTAATCTGTTTTGTTGTGTTTTTTGGGAGTTTGTTATTCTTACCTTGGGGCGTGTAGCTGAGGGTATTCATTCATGTATACTTCTTTCTCTAGTTGTTTATACATTTAGATGTCCTGGACGCAAAATTCTTATTTATTTGTTAAGTAGTTGCATAGACTAAGATATTTTAGTCTTAGTCTGGGCTATCTTCTATGAAGCCTTATTAGTATAAGTGGAGGATTCTTTATTTTTAATGAAACTTCCTCTTTATATTATTTTGCAGACGGCTAGATATAGAGGCACACTATTTTGACGTCTTCAGTAAAAATTAGCCTCGAACGTCATCAGTATATATGTGCAGTTTTATTAAAACTTTCAAATTATTATCCGCTACGCGTGTTGGGTGTAAAAGGATACTGTATATATAGTTAATAAAATGATTTTGTCCACCTCGCTTCCTTATGAACCCGGTAATAAAGACAAAGCAGAGTGAAATTCGAATGAATCTGCCCTCAAACACTGATTTGACATATCTGGGAAAAAGTAGAAATATGTGGCATCCCAAATACTAATATTTAAGCGAGTGACAATTCCACCGCTCTCTTCATGCAGCCATGGTTATATTATTCCGGTGTGCAGGATTAAAAAATTTGAGCGCACTTAATTGGAAACGATACGTTGGTTTGGTGGAACAAGAAAAAAGGCTGGTCAAATCTACCACTGAGGCTATGAGGGGAACGACATTAATTTGGAAGATATATATAATTTCAGCAATTAATTAATTAGGTTCAATGATATAACGTTATCCATGGCAAAAGATATTTTCTTTTAAGTACAGGGCTATAATGTTCTCAAAATCAAGTTGCTGTTTCGCTCTCTTCGAATGATCCCCTTCCACAGCAATGCATTTTCATATTGCAGCGTGTAAGAGTCCTTATACTTAGGTTATATTTTTATACTTTTTTCTCCTGCCCCTTTATAACAGCGCATTATGTTAATTGTTGCAATGGAATGCATGCATTAAACTGGAAATAATATAACTAAATTACCAAAGGCAAATACAAAAAGTCCTATGTTATGGCTATATGATAGGCTAAAGCAAACATCCAATCTTGGTTGAAAGTCGCAGATCTCGGACACTAATTTATAGTTGCAGAAGCCAACTTGGATTATTAAAGACCTTGCCACTAAACTCCCAATACGATGTGCTCCGTGGTTTCTCGCCCAGGACGACCGAGCACGCCAACAACCCTCGAGTAGTACAGCTAGTGGCCACTTACTTTACACGGACTAATTATTAGCATGATTTGTTTAATCCGACGCTAAGAAAGAAGATTGAATCAGAATGGGAGAGCAAGTAATTTTTAATCTTTATTTTGAAACCCTTGATTAGCTATTGCGTATTCTAGCTAATCCATTTCTTCATATTCTCTTTTGACTTTGTTTTTATTTTGAAGTCTCATAATTAAATATGGTTATTTAGTTCTTGTCGCCTGCTTAATTAAGCGTCGTCGTAGTTGTGCAAGTGGACAAGTTGTTCCACAGGTTGTTTTTGACCGTGCTCACAACAGAGACTTCCTCAGAAATACCGTGGATTTAAAGGTAAATTACATATGGATATTTTCTTCAGCCATGCATTTGATACGTTTTAAGGCACGTATCTACCATATATAACTAATTAACTACTCATTTAAAAAGCCATGTAATTTTACAGAATAGACCCTCAGATTTAATTAACATATATGCATTTTCATTTTGATAGCTTTCCAAACTTTGTTTTTTTTAGCTGAAATGATTTATATGGCGAACTTAACTGATGTTGCGCAGTCTCACGCTGAAATCATTCGTAATTATTTTCTATGATCATCGACCTAGTATTTTTTTTTTAATACATCCAATTATATGGTATATGAAAAAGAAGTACAGAGAAACAAATACACATATGTATCATAACAACACAATAAAGACATAGCAGGCATCAACGTAATTTACAAGGGAGTTTACAAGAAAAACATAAAAAGAAAGATTCAAAGGATGGTCGAGACGACGGAATACTGAGATTCTCTAACTTAAAAAGAGTATGGACGAAGTAATTAGGAAGGAGAAATAACACTGATCTTAAAAATGTTATGTTTTTTTTTTTGCCCCCACAAGTTACAAAACACCATGACATAATTTCTTTAATTATACGATGCCAACAATGGATTGGCAAGCCGCATTGAAATTGCTTGTATAACTCTCACACGACCTTGTAATTTCAACGAGTAAAGTACCATGATACAGCCTGTACAATTCAACGTGTGAGGTGCAACGCATGGGAGGAAATTCTAGATTCTATATAGGAAATTAGCTGAACCGGACCCCACAAAAAGAAGCTTCCACTGCCCGTGTCAAGGAAGAACTGGTAAAAAGGAACACAACGATTGGAGGAAAGATCTCCTCACCACTATGGGATACCTCAATCAATATCATCGATAAAAATATAATCATTATTAATATCTAATACTGATTTTGATATTAATGTAAAATATAAATACAAAACTCATAATACATTAATATACTTGTTAATTATACTAATATAATTTCTTACTAATGGCACACATACACAAACATACCACCTCAACGTTTAAAAGGAGTTTTTATACAGTATAATTTTACTAAAATTCTCAATAATGAATTATATAAATAAAGTATAATCCATTGAGAATTGGTTGGCCCTGAGCGGCGGCATGTTTGACGTTATTTTAATATTTTTCTAAAGTCGTTCACTCTCAAACAAGTGTGTGGTTATTTTGGCTAGAAAAGAAAGTAAGCGTTTGATCACTTTGAAACATTTTTTTACCTTAATAGAAATATTTTTTGGTTCTCACCTGAATTTTAGTACATTTTTTATGAGTGTGGTATTGTATATTTTATAAAACACAATATACATTTTTTACTTTATTCCGTAAGAAATGAAGACTAGATAAAAAAAAATTAAAAAATATTACAAATTCTAAAATTAATCTACCAAACTTTAGTGTGGTTTATATTCTGTTTTCATTAAAATGATTAAGTACTCATCAAATTTTTAAACTTAATTTTATTGTCAAGTTATGCACATTTCCTCATAATATTTTCATCTATAACAATTATTACTGAAATAAAATAAAAGCGTTACAGAGCAAGTGGCAAATGTTCTGGGGTATGCTCAGGTCGGAAAAAAAAATGAAAATGTCCTGGGGTATGGATAAAGACTAAAAATGAAGAGCCTCGTAGGCTCGTAGCGAACAGCGAAGAGAGAGAAAAGCCAAGACTTGGAAAACAAGGCAGAGGAAATCGAGTGACAAAAAGCGGTTAGGTAGGTCCGTCCAGGAAGGTTCTCAATTCCACCCAAATAACTGCGCTCCCCTCATCTTCCCAGCTACTTATACCCTCTTCCTCGCATTCCCTGGCGTCATCTCTTCACTCCTTCTCTCTCTTCAAAACCTCTTTCTTAAACCTCTCCCTCTCTGATCTCCCCTCACATCCCTCGCCTCCCTCTCTCTGCTTCATTTGATTTGCCTTCAGCTCCATTGATCATGTGTGGTGGTGCCATCATCGCCGACTTCATCCCCCGTCACCGTGGCCGCCGTCTTACCGCCTCTGACATCTGGCCCAACTCTTTCGGCAAGCCAAATGACGACTCCGACTTCGACTTCCATTTTCCTCAGCCAGGCCACTCTGTCTCCCGCAAATCAACCCATCCTTCCCCAGGTCAGTCCTCTTTCCACACCCTTCGCCTCATCTTCTTTTCATTTGCTTTCTTGTTGATTGAATGCGGTTTTGTTTTTTCTTTCTGAGGAACAGTTGATCAGCAAGCCGAGAAACCCGTGAAGAGGCAGAGGAAGAACCTCTACCGTGGGATCAGGCAGCGTCCCTGGGGTAAATGGGCCGCGGAGATTCGCGACCCCAGGAAGGGGGTTCGTGTTTGGCTTGGCACCTTCAACACTGCTGAAGAAGCCGCCAGGGCCTATGACAGAGAAGCTCGAAGAATCCGCGGCAAGAAAGCCAAAGTCAATTTCCCCAATGAAGACGATGCCTACTCCCTTCAGGCTCGCCGTAATAATCCACCGCCTCCGCTCCGATCCCCCATTTCTCCCCTGTATCCGCAACAGTACGGCTCAAACTTGAACAATGTGCCTAAAAGTTTCAGTTTGGAGTTTGGCTATGATCTGAACCAGGCGGGCACAATTCCTTCCTTCGGATTCGACACCAATCCAACTCTCGTTTCTGGAGATAAGAACTCTGGATGCGGGTCAGGGTCAGGGTCAGGGTCAGGGTCAGTGTCAGTGTCCGAGTGTGCCTACTCCAGGATGCAACTGCTGGACTCGAGTCACAAAGGAAACGGCTATTCCTGTGAGGATTCGAACATGGACGTGGAAGGAAAAGCGAACACGGTGGTGACGGAAGCGGAGGAAGAGAAGAACGAGATAGAGAAGCTGTCGGAGGAGCTAATGGCGTACGAGAACTGCATGAAGTTCTATCAGATTCCATATTATGACGGGCAATCGACGGCGTCCAATAATGTACAGGAGAACGTGGTGGGCGATCTGTGGAGCTTCGACGATGAGGCCGTCCAGGTTTCGGTGACGTCATCGGCCCTGTGAAGGCTCGTGTCTGTGGATACTGGATTCCTTCTTGCTTGCTGGGGAAGGGCGGAGAAACAGAATGGGCGGAGGAACTGGCGATTTAAGTCCGATGTTTTCGAGTTGAATTGTAATGATTTCCCTTTGCTTTTCTTGATGAACAATGTTTATTTTGGGCTGCATGAATTTTAGGTGTAATTACATTAAATTCAATTCATTCGATTAGTTGATTGTGCCGTCCCGATGAGGGGAAACAAAGATGGAAGCGGCGTGTGCGCCACGCGATCTAGCTAGATACTATTTGGAGTTTTAAGTAATGAGAACGAAAATTATAATGACGAGGGAAGATTAATTTTGACGAGACAAATGGGGGCAGCTTGTCGTGGCGAAGAGATTGCCCCAAAAGGATAAATGCTGGGTAGATCACCAAATTTAGAGGGGTGTTTGGTTTCGTAAATATTTTTACGATCTACAAAATAAATATATAAAAGAATTTGTCTTATTTTTTTTAAGGACGTTGATACCCGCACGTCAATTTGGTTTTTTGTTGTTAGCTTCCGGTTTTTTTTTGGTTAAAAAAAAGAAAAAGTGATGAGGATATCGGATCGGATTAAAGTAACATGGTAAAAAGAGGTAAATTGAAAGGCATAGCTGGGGGGTGAGAGATGCGGGGGCAAAGCAGTGGGGGCTGCTGGTTTTGGAAGACGCGGCGCCAGTGGGCGCCGCCGGATTTTGGCTGACGGCTGACGTTGCTCTTGTACTGTCATCCCACTATTCCCGCGCAACCCCACCGCTCCTCAATTCGCGGTCCCCTTGTAATTATTTTATTTATATGTCACCCCGTAATAAATATTATAAAAGATAATAACGTTATTTTTTTAATAAAATTAATATTAGTTTGTTTCTTTAATCTTGCAGTAAAGTTTTAAAATTAATTCTGTATTGCGGTTTTTAAACAAATTTTTTTTAATATTTTTGCTTCATATTTTATGAATTATGATTAAAAATTATTTATAAATTATTTTAAATAAGTATTTATTTCTTGGAAGGAGATTTTTTAAAAATCCAAATCCATAAAGCCAATGCTGCATCTGTTAGCCTACTTCCTTGCCTACGATTACAGGCTACTCCTGACTAAAGTTTCCGCGTTTTCTTCTCCGTGTTTGGCAGGTATAAATCACTGAGTAAACTTTTTTTTCCTTGGAAGGAGATTTTTGAAAAATAAATGAATTAAATTTTTTAAAGACTAATTTATGAAAAATGACTATGTTTTTGAAGGATTTCAACTTGCACCAACACTATGAGCAAATTAGTAAAAAGCACACATAGTAAACGATAAGTCTCATTTACATCCAGCAGAATTTCCATCTTTTTTATTAGATAGAAGAATTTTATCTTTTAAAAAGCAACTTGATTTTCAAATGTTGATTTATTAATATATTTTGAATTATTGATATACTTCGAGATGGGGAGACTTCCATCCCCGCTTGAACCCAACACAATTTTGAATAGGATGTGACCATTTTTGCCTTAAAATGAAAAAGGCTTAGGCCCAATCGACGTCTTATCTCTTGGGCTCCTTTACACTGAGCCCAATATGGGGTTGGATAAAAGGCCTCCAAGTTCCAACTTCGGGTTAACAATTGAAACGTCGCCTTAAATAAAAAGGGCTTTAGGCTCAACCAAGGTCTTAATCTCTTGGGCCCCTTTTTGACGGCCCAATTCGGGGGAGGATAAAAGGCCCAAAACGACTGCCAAGCTAGGGTTAACAATTGAAAGGGGTGGTATATAGTTTCCTCCGCCGCGGAGTGCTCTTTCGACTGCAGCTGCAGCAGAGAAGGGAGAGGGTGAGTGGAAAATGGTGTCGCTGAAACTCCAGAAGCGGCTCGCCGCTAGTGTCCTCAAGTGCGGCAGAGGCAAAGTTTGGCTTGACCCAAATGAAGTCAACGAAATATCCATGGCCAATTCTCGTATGATTTTCCCTTCTGTCTTTGTTTCTCCGTTATCTGTACTGTCCTACTTATTTCTTTGGCCTGATCTCTATATTTTGTCATTCCCCTTTTGAACGCTTTGATTGCCAAGGTCCATTTCTTTTGGGCACATGGATTGGTGTGCCGGTTCTCGCAATTCTGAGCGATAATGAAGATAGATTGCTAATCTCATTAGTAATAATAGTTTTTTTTCTTTTCATTAGTAATCTCACTTTAGGATGGCCTGGTTCGCTGCATGCTTTTCTTTAGCCTTAAACAGTCATCCTCTTGGTTCCCTTTTCAACGGAATATGCATTTCTTCCATTCTATTTGACTCTACTTTGGATTCCGCTACTTATGTTTTTGTGTAGTAGACTGTACACCTTCCTTTTATTTCAAGTTGTCTGGAGCCCTAATGCCCTATTAAGCTGGGTCTGATGTTAGATAGGGTATCATTATGTGGCGCAATGTTGGTTGTGGTGTTTGAAATTTCGCAGGCTCATTCTCGTAATAACGTTTCATTTGCAGGCCAAAACATACGAAAGTTGGTTAAGGATGGGTTCATCATCCGGAAGCCAACCAAAATTCACTCCCGTTCACGGGCCCGTCGAATGAAGGAGGCCAAGAGGAAGGGACGTCACTCTGGATATGGTATTTATTCCTCTCGTCATTTTTCTCTTTTGCGTGATATTCTCGAGTTAATTGAATTCAGGGAGACAAGATCGTCAGGCCATGTTGTCATGTTCAAAGACATGTCCAGTCTTCATAATGATTTAAAAAGAACGAGATTACTGCTAACTAGTTCATGCAATCTGAGATAGCTTCTCATAAAAGAGTTATGTCTTTTGAAAATCATTGGTAGGCGGGCATCTTTTTTTATTAAGTTATTAGGCATTTTTATTTAAATTTTTTTAAAGAAAAATTGTAACGTAATCTTTTAAATTGTAATTTTTACCTGACTGACACTAGGTAAGCGCAAGGGTACTAGAGAAGCACGACTTCCTACCAAGATTCTTTGGATGAGAAGAATGCGTGTGCTCAGACGCTTGCTTCGCAAGTACAGGGAGTCCAAGAAAATTGACAAGCACATGTACCATGACATGTACATGAAAGTTAAGGGTAATGTGTTCAAGAATAAGAGAGTCTTAATGGAGAGCATTCACAAATCTAAGGCCGAGAAGGCAAGAGAGAAGACTTTGAGTGATCAGTTTGAGGCTAAGCGTGCAAAGAACAAGGCAAGCCGGGAAAGGAAAATCGCAAGGAGGGAGGAGCGACTGGCTCATGTGAGTTTATGCTTTTAGTTGTTGATGAATCTGTCTTTGGAATTCGTTGGCCTCTAGTGTCTATCATGATCTTGATATTCTCTAGCATTGCACCTGGGAAAATTCCGGATGTCTGTTTGCATAATAGATTGTGGCTGATGCCGGCACATTTGGAATTGACCTTTTCATTTCATCTCTGTATATGTCTTTAGGGTCCTGGAGAGAAACCTACTGCAGCACCGACCACACCACCTCCGACAGCATCTCAGCCAGCCCAGTGAGTGTTAATAGCCTCGCATTGGCTGCTATCATTGTTTGTGACTATTCGTTTTTCATAAACTAATTGAATATGCTTTTTCTGCAGAGCATCAAAAAAATCCAAGAAGTGAGGGGACACATGAAGGAATACCTGATGTAGTTTTGGTCAATCTCTTTTTGTTGGATTAGACATTTCTAATTGTTATTTCAAGTACGAGAGTTTCAACTATTTTTACAGCAATGATTTATATTTATTTCGTTTGATTGCGTTTTCGGTATGAAATTGTAGCGTGCAAAATTCTTCTCTAGGCCTTTAGATCACTGTGACGCTGTTTATCACACCCTAAACATTCCTATCCTTGACCTATCAGATGTGACGCGGATGTGGTTTCATGAACTCATCATTTGTGCTCGCATCGTGTTACGCCAAGTTTTTGTATAATTATATCCTTTTAGTTTTGATCCGACTTTTTTTATTGGATTGTGACTTACCAACATTTCTTTAGGTGTTTATGAGTGAGATCAAACCACTGAAATATGGATTTGTATCCCCCAAAAAGCTCAAATGCTGGGCATTGAAATGTCTGTATCCACATTTTTGTGAATTAGCTTACATAAAATGTAAGCACATGAATTCGTTATAAATGGTTTGGTTTCGTCTTATCAAGCCGACGTTACTCTTGTTTGCTTACTGCGCCAATTAATTATGCTAGCGTGCCCCATTAACTTGTTCTCGCGGGGCCGCTGTCACAGTTAATGGTGCTGGGAATTGGTCCTTTCTTTTAGGAAGACTTGAGAAAACAGAGTTATGTTTCTGATTAATAGATATAGTTTTTGGCCTAATGATTATACTTGATGTTAGAAGTGAGGTGCTGTTTAGCAAACCATCTCACCGGGTTTAACATTCCAACCTTGTAGCTCTTTCAGCAGGCGCACGGAGATATTGTTGCATGTTTGTTTCTTACCAATCCAGTGAGGTGGTGATTAACTCTTGATCTGTTGACCCTGGCAATTCCAATCAGCCTTGAGGTCCCTTTGGTACATAACCTAATAGGAAATATAATTTTCATAGGATGCTATTTTTATGACCTGAACAGTGAACATCCTTCGTCGTCTTTGCAACCTCCGCCTTTTTCACCTCCCGTCTCGCCTTGCCTCCTCTCCGTATTTTAGATTTGGCTAAAATGTTGCTAGACGATTCCTTACCTGGGCACCGCCTCCTAATGCTCCATTGTGATCTTCGCTGCTCTCCAAACATTCATTCTTCTTCGTCCTCCGCCGTTATTTCTCTATTGGGGTAGTGTCTGAAATCACTTTCTTCTTGCCTTATCTAGACAACTATAAAAGCTTCTTGATCATAATTCTCAACTGAGATCAAGAGTGGCGATGGCATGTGTGTGTTTTTCCCAACGGCATGCATATAATATATAGTGCTTTCAGTCCTAAATATAAGATTTTATTTATAATTTATAAACAAGATCTTAAAATTAGGATATTTTATATTTTATATTTTATAATTAGGATGTAGTGTTAGCTTAAATAAAATTGATGCAATTAAGTTTGAATCCACTCTTTCCTTCCCAAATCTAGATAACCATCGATATAGGTCTCTTCACGCTTCGTATGTATGTGTTTCTACTTTCTAGTAGTTTTTGATGTTCAAAGTTTGCAGATCTGCTTTTGCGTTGATGTTCTGTGTTGATGAATCAAAGCATTTTGATTGTGCGTAGAAGAATCCGAG